AGCTATGGTGCCAAGTGTCTGGCGCAGCATCTTACACAGTTACCCCAGGAGGAGGCCAAATTATCCATGAAGTCAATGCACCAGGAGTTCAGAACAATCTACCGTGTGCACAGGGAGTTCATTTAGACTTGTGAGCCGAGACCCGATGACGTGCTGGAGTTCTTGGGAACTGAGATACTGGGATATAGTAACAAGGAAGAATATGATTGTACAGTTTGGGAACTATATTTATCAAACATTTCAGGTTTATTTCTTTTAAATTCATTAGAATCTCATGCAGATCATGATGTTGCACAGGAATAATCATTATTAACAACCATTTCTATTTTGTGCCAACTGGGGATATGTTCTGTTCTAATACATCTGCTCAACTCCCACACATGGCCCGCCTCCATACCCCCTGCTGGTTTGGGTACTGAACAACAGACCTTCCTGATCAGAATTCAAGTGACTCACACTTTTACATTTACCTCTTTTTCATGCTGTGGACATAAAGGACATAAATAAAACCATCAGTGCCAAGGGTTATATGATCAACAAAGACACACAAGGAGTCACTTATTAATGGGTACCTGTGAACTTGACAGCCTGGCAGTAGATGACCAAGTCTGAGAGCTCGGGTGCTATCTGTCTGCTCTCCTTTTTGTTTTGGGGCAGGTAGAACTCTTCACCCAACTCCATGTCATAAACCTGGGGGTTAAGTAAACAGCAAATAAGCCATGGCACACAACACACGACCTCACGCATGGAAGCAACTTCTCCTTTCAATAATTCACCAAATGAGTAACTGGAAGCCTTGCATTTATGTAGTGCCTTTCATGACTCCCAATCAACCCAAGATGCTTTACAGCCCACTCAGTATATTTGAAGTGTAGTGACTTCAACGCCAGCTAATTTGTGCTCAGTGGGAACAGCAACAAAATTATAACCAGGTCACTTTTTTTTAAAATGGGATGTCAGTTGAGAGCTAAATATCGATCAGGGCAGTGGGAAGCATCAAATGACGCCATAGCTATAAGTCTACCTGAGGGTTGACTGGCCTTAGTTTTAAATTTCATCGTTCATTCAAAGATGAAAGGGCAGGTGTTAAAGGCAGTATCATGTACACCAGCTGAGAAACTAAAGGTAATCCCACAGTGGCTGTTACCAGGGTAAAAGTGGGTGCTGGAGGGGTTTAGACCGAGCTAGCGATGTTCCTCATCATTGTCGGGCTGGCTCCAGTGAAAGGAGACATTCAGGCATGGGGCAGGCTGTGCAGTGCCCATGAGCGACTGTTCATTCTGAGGCTAGCAGCTTGCCCTATCAATTAGTCTCCAGGCAGGAAGGTGGGTCTCACTTCCTGCCCCGAACTAAATTGGAGGGAGGCACAGAAAGGCAAGATCGCCACCTCACCCAACCACACGGCCAACCTCTGGCTGCAAAGTGTACTACACTCGGAGTGCAGCGCTCCTTCCGTGCTATACTGGCCAATCTGAATTACACGCACAAGTCTCCAGAAATGGGACTTGAACTTGGTTCAGTGTGAGGGTGCTACCACTTATCAGACTGACACCGAACACATTCATACACTGTCCCTCTAACTGCTATTTACTCATTTAAAACAAATGGATGAGTATTAAAAAAATACAATATCATATCGAGCCATTAAGTACTTTCTGTTATCAGCACTTTCTAGCCATCTGCCTATGCCAATTTCCTAGGTGCCTAACCTTAACTTCATTTGCTTCAAGCCCCATTAAACCCCAGCAGTGCCCAGCAACTCCTGACTGCGCTGTGCTTAGGTTCCTACATTGCTCTGCAGGGGGATAAAAACAAGAGTATTTTTAAAATGCAACTTCTTGACGGAGAAATGCAAATGTGTAATTTCTCACAATAAATCTTTTTTGCTTTGTCTTTTCTTTGCTGTGTAACATTGCGTCAGTCGATATTTTTTTGATTCTCCGTGGAGTTTCTTCTGTATATTCGAAGTGATATTTATCACTTGATGGCTTGCTCTCGGGCCTGTCATCGAGGATGTTGTCTGGAAAGGAAGGAATAGACTCTAATGAGACAGTTGTATGTCACATATAGAATGCTTTTCAAGCGGCAGGGTCACTTGAGCAGATTACGTAGCAAAAAGTAATGACTCTAGAAGAACTAATGCTGAAGTTACATTAGCTCCATCCAACCTGATGATGTTTCACAGTCCTCGGGTGAAGAAACAGTTAGTCTTGCACAGGTCCTGATAGAAGCAAATATGACATGGGGCGGCACGGTGGCTCAGTGGTTAGCACTGCTGCCTCACAGCGCCAGGGACTTGGTTCGATTCCACCCTTGGGTGTGGAGTTTGCACATTCTCCGCGTGTCTGCATGGGTTTCCTCCAGGTGCTCCGGTTTCCTCCCACTGTCCAAAGATGTGCAGGTTAGGTAGATTGGCTATGCTAAATTGCCCGTAGTGTTCAGGGATGTGTACATTAGTACCTATTATTAATATTACTAGTATTTATTGTTCAGTTAAACTTTCTAATTGTTGATTTATTCTAAACTCCTTTTTCTTTTGTTTGTATTTTAACTATAGTGTTTAAATAAATTGTGTTTTGCTTAACATTGAGTAGTATGACTGATTGCATCGCACTTCACATCTACCTCTAAAGTAAGAAAAAGTTAGGGTCCAGGCTACTTTCTTATAATGTTTTGAGGGGGTCTGGTCTGGTCCGTAACAGTGTGGCCACGGAGAGGAAGCATGTAGTGTTCACTAGCATGGTAGACACCTTTACTAACCAGTGAGCACCACAGGGGCTGGGATGCTTTATTAATGTTATGTTGATTTAGTAAGTTCCCATTTTGATATGTAGATTCCTGTTAAACATTAGTTTGCACTTTCATTGCAGTGCCCCATCAAGAGACTCTTTAACCAGATTGTGTTTGTTGAAACAGTAGAAAGGAGAATTGGCCAGGGAAATTGTAGTGTAATTGTAATGTCTACTGGATTAGTGGTCCAGGTTAATACGCTGTGGAAATGAGTTCAAATCCCAACATTGCAGCTGGAGGAGTTTAAACTCAATTCATAAATCTGAAGCTAATTTCTTATGGGACTCTTGTGGCACAGTGTTAGTGTCCCTAGCTCTGAAGCCTGGGTTCCAGTCCTATCTGCTCTGAAGGTGTGTTAAAACATCTCTGAACAGGCAGATTAGGAAATATCTACAATGAACTTATATGATTCAGACACCTCTTTCCCTTTCAGAGCTATGCTTACATAATAAGCAGAAAGATTGGAAGGGCTCTGGTAGTGGCAGTGTCCCTACCTCTAGGCCACAAAGTCTCACCTGCTTCAGAGGTTTGTTATGTTCAAACAGGTTGATTCAAAAAATATCTAGAAAGGAGGATTGGTGGCAGTGAATTAGCCCAACTATCAGCTATTATTCAAAGCCCCATACAACAATCGTTCCTGATATCAAAACATGCAACAATCTTTGTGAGCGGGTGTCAGTGCATGTGAATTTATTTCTAAAGTTTTGGAGTAGATTTGTAGCTCGGGTTGTGGGTGTTGAGGTTGGTTGGCTCGCCGAGCTGGTTTGTTGTTCCACAGACGTTTCGTTACCGTGCTTGGTAACATCCTCAGTGCAGCCTCTGATGAAGCGTTGGTGTGTTTTCCCGCCTGGTTTTTAAACTCTGGGGTCCGTTGCGATGGATTGCCTCACTTCCGGGTTTCCTCTGTAGTGGAATGAATATGGGGTCGAGTTCAATGTGTTTATTAATAGCCTACTTTGTGGAGTGCCATGCTTCCAGGAATTCTCGTGCTTGTCTCCGCTTAGCCTGTCCCAGGATCTTGGTGTTGTCCCAGTCGAAGTCGTGGTTCTCCTCGTCCATGTGGATTGAGATGAGTGAGTATTGGTCGTGTCTTTTTGTAGCCAGTTGGTGTTCATGTACTCTTGTTGTTAGTTTCCTTCCTGTTTGTCCGATGTAGTGTTTCTCTCAGTCTCTGCAGGGAATCTTGTAGATGACATTGGTCCTGTCCATGGCGGGGAGTGGGTCTTTAGTTCGGGTGAGCACTTGTCGTAGGGTTGATGTGGGTTTGTTTGATGTGGAATTTATTTGAAATAATCCCCAATTTAAATGAATTTAAATTGGACAGCTGTTCTCAGTCAGTGAATGGATGAGCAGGTTTGTTGACAACAGCTGTGCAATGTACATTTTGTGAAAATAACATTATTTAAGAGAGTTACTATTATTCAACTTAGCAATATTGTAATTATACCCAACAGAATGTGAAAAGCATGTATTTTAATTTAAAATTAAAGGAAACAATATTCCATTTGAAGTGCCAGGTGGAAGGGCGAGATGAGTTTGGAAGCTGAACAAGCTATAATTATACATTCCCACCTCCTCCACAATTGATCCCATTTCTAGACAGCACATGGTACAGGGCAGAAGTGATAAGCCGCTACCATGTCTGTCATTCAAGCTATTTTGGCAAAAAGTGCAATTGGCTCAAACCGGTACACAACAAAATTCTTTTTTTAAAGCATAATTATTAAAGCACTTCATTCCCAGACAAAATCCATTACACATTTCCTATTTAGGTACAGAGTGGAGTAATACATATAGGCTGTTCAAAACCACAGTAAAACTGTTACGACATAGCAGCTGTCTCTACGCTTTGCAGTACTTACCGTTAATCTTGCAACGTGCCATAGTAAGCTTCCAAGTGTTAAGCAATATTAACCTTAATCGCCCCATTTGTTTATATCATGGCTGCCACATTATGGCAATAAAACAGATTTTCTTTTTCAAAACATATCATTCCCAAAAGAACAGAAAGAATTGTTAAGATTTTACAGTGAGGCTTCTTTCACAATCTTGACTTTCTCTTCCTCTCAGTCCGATGAGCCAAACAGGGTGCTTCCAGTATCCCTCCTACACTTGGCCTGTGTAAGTCTAGGGTAGTGAGTGCTGACAGTCCTAGTGAAAGCTCAGCAATTTCAAATGTTACTTTTGATTCTCTTGTTACAGATGCTGCCTAAGCTACTGAGTGTTTTCAGTATTTTTCGCTTTATGTTTCAGTTTTCCAACATTCTCAGTATTTTGCTGCTGTGAAGGTGTGACCAGAATATCACTGCCCAGTCCAATCGTAACTCACTGCCTACGCACGGATACAGTTCAGGAAAGAAATATACATTGTGCAGTTCCCACTCAAAGTGGAGCACAGCACATAGTCTTGTATCTACCAGCCACCTGTACCTCCTTTACTCAGTACAACCAATCTTTTGTGCAATCCATGTTTTTGTACTCCTTTCTCAACCTGCCACCTACAATGATTTGTGTACAGATATTCCAGACTGGTTGGTTACTACACCCTCTTTAGAATTGTATCTTTTATATTATCTCTCTTTGTTTGTCCTACCAAAGCGTATTCCTTCACATACATTGGCACTAAATTTAATCTGCATGTATCCACCCATTTCACAAGCCTGTGATCTTCTGAAGTCTGTCATTATCTTCCTCTTAGTTCATAGTACTTTTAAGTTTTGTGCCATCTGCATCTTCTAAAATTCTGCCCCATGCACCCAAATTTAATTACTTGAGATCAAGGAAAGCTCTGAGCCTAGTATAAGATCCCTAAGGAATCCCACTGCACACATTCCTCCAGTTCACCACTACTCATTGTTTCCTGTCACTCAACTAACTTCACCTCTAAACTCCTTCTGTCCATTTAATTCCATGAGCTTCAACTTTTCTGCTGTGTATTATGTGGCACTTTATTAAATGCCTTTTCAACACACCATACCAACTCTGTCACCAACTTTTGCTGTTACATCATCAAAATATTCACTCAAATGAGTTGGTCCCAAACAAATTCCGACAGCACTGCACTATTTAATCCATACTGTCCAAGTGACTATTAATGTGTCTAAAAGTCTTCCCAACATTGGGGTTAAAGTGACTGGCCTGAAAGCGGGAACCAATTCATTCCTAATGTGATCATTTTATATTTTTATCACATCGCAAACTCCTGTTTCCTGTAGTGTTCAGCTTATTGGAGAAAGAAAGATGGCAGCTAGATGATCTTTCAAAAACTATACGGAACAAATTCAATGGCTTGCCCTTTTATCTTTGGTTGTAGCTGCTGACTGTCCATTTGTAGTTTGTAGCATCCACTATGAGATAAGAAATGATCACATTGAACTCACAAATAGAAGAGAGAGGCAAATAACTCTTCTGTGTGGTTTGATGTCACAAAATGAGTTTGATTTCAAGACAGACTGGTCAATGTCAAGAACACCCTTCAGGCTTAGTCTTCAAAGTAACGCTATTTATTATATATAAATACTAAACACTGCTGTATATGCAGTGCTGTGACTTACAGTTACATTAGAAACAGACTAATCTATTTTCTTCATTTGGATTCATGGTAGGTGCTCATGTAAGTCTTCCTAATGTATTTTAACTCCACCTACACTGTACTATTTATACTCAGTGATGCGCTGCTCACTGGCATCATTGCAAGGTTGTTCCAGGGTCCCAAAGCACTTACTCAACAAGAGCCATCCTAAATAGGAATGTCTCCGGTGAGCCCAGGACCCTTCAATTTTAATAAACCTGGGGTGAAGAGAGAACCAAATGGAAAGTGGGGTGACTGCAGGTTGGTAGGATCCACAAAATTAAGGTAATGCAGAGATGGGCAGGCTCCAGATTAAAGATGACCAGATAGACCAGTAAGAGCCTGAAACACTTGTTGGAATTCCTGCTATTACTGACTCACTTCATGGCATTTCTGTAAAGTGGGTACAGGACCCTCATATTAATACATGAGGCTTGCAAAATACTTCAGGCAGATTTCAAAGTAAAGCAGTGACCAAAATATATAGGCCATATTTGCTACTACCAATCAGTACACCCTCAATCTGCCTCTGAAACAGTGATGTTGAATTTAGGCCCCTTCATGATTGTAATTTCACAACTGGTGGCTTGCACTCCTGCTTACTGCTTGGCTGAATCTTAACTGGGTAAAAGATGATCTTATTGCTAAAACAGCAACAT